GAGGAATTGTATTATTATAAAGCAGAAAGCTAATAAAAGCTATGATAGGTAGCTGGGTGCACATGCCTGTAATCCTAGTGACTCCAGGGGCTGAGGCAGGAGAACCAAAGTTCCAGGTCAGCCTGGTCAACTTAGCAAGACCCTGTCTCAAATGAAAAACAATATAGGCTGGGAACCTAGCTCGATAGTAGAGCACCCCTGGGTTCAATGCCCAGTACCATACACATAAAACAAAACAAAACACAGTTATTTTAAAAACCTAGATGGTAAATTACCTTTCTGGCTACAACTTGTAAATAATCAGGCCAAATCTAGTGAGACCAGTCTTATTTTGTGATCAAGAATAATGTCCTTTGAGATCATCTTTAATCAGAAGGGATAACTTTAAGAATAAAATTCAGTAGAAAATGTTGATACGTCCTTCTGGATTATCAGATTCTGCTTCCTTTAATTGTGTTTACAATATTTTTCCCATTTGAAAATTGCAGATGACTAATGCATATACAATCTCTGTCTTATCTGTTAAAAACATAATTGACTTCTACTATGGGAAAAAAATTTTGTTATCTACCTATAAATTGGACTGGATCCTATACCATGCCCAAATTGTTAACACTTAACCAAATTTTCAATTCTTTCAGTTTCCTTCAATTTGTGTCTATTACTCTCTGAACTAACTTTTCAGTTTTTCTCCCTCCTTCGTAACTTAGCATCATTGAGAACTAAAATATAACCAGGTACAGTGGTGCATAACTATAATTCCAGTGTCTCAGGAAGCTGAAGCAAAAGGATTTCAGGTTCAAGGCCAGCCTCAACAACTTGGTGAGACCTTCTCAAAATAAAAAGAGCTGGGAATATAACTCAGTGGTCAACCACCCCTGAGTTCACTCAGTACCCCAAAACAACAACAAGAACAAAAAGCAAAAAAGCCTAAAACCTCATAGCTCAGATCCTAAGGACTCTAGATCTCCCGTCAATGATCTTTTTTCCCAAGATCTAAAGAAGCATTACAAGATAGAGCCTTTGATATATACTTCTAAGGCCTCATCAACTGCAGCAGACCATGCATGGACCAGATTTCCACCTGACCAAGCTGCTTTGGGTCATTTAGGAAGTCTGGAAAAATGCTTGGGTCACTCATGTGCTTATTTGAAAACTAATCAAGTCAGGTACAGTGGCACATGCTGTAATGCCAGCAACTCAGGAGGCTGAGATAGAAGGATTGTAAGTTTCAGGCCAGCCTGGGCAACTTAATAAGACCCTGTTTTAAAATAAAAAGTAGAAATGGTGGGGATGATGTAGCTCAGTGGTAAAGTACCCTGTGTTCAATTTCCAGTACAAAAAAAGAAAAGAAAGAAGAAAGGTAATCAAGGGCAAGGGTATAGACAATATCATGAAAGCATTCATATTTTAGCTTCAAGAGACAAGTGGTGCTGCATAATCAAAAGACTTTCAGCTGAGCAAGGTGGCGCATGCCTGTAATCCCAGCAGCTTGCGAGACTGAGGCAAAAGAATCATGAGTTCAATGCTAGCCTCAGCAAAGACGAGGTGCTAAGCATCTCAGTGAGACCCTGTCTCTAAATAAAATACAAAATAGGTCGGGATTTGGCTTAGTGGTTGAGTGTCCCTGAAGGATTTTCATCCACCCACCACTTAGAATGCACTAGACTAGATGCCCTCCAGGTTCAACTGCTTGATTTTACTTTAATATGACTATGACACTTTATATTCATATTTCTCTTTATCATTTTAGACATCTCACTTTTTAAATGCCTAGTCTGAAGGCTCTTTGCAAGTATGCCCAAAGATGGTCCAATTGGTCTTCTGGGAGCAACATCACCGAGAGAATTACTTTGAATCTATTTTCCTTAACCCTAAGACGTAAAGAACAGTCCCTCTGAGCCTGTCTTGAACAAGAGGATGCACGGACAAGGCGGATCAAACTTTGTGCTTACTAGAACAGACTAAGCATGAACTGAACTTGATGTGAACTTCCCATACTATAATGTGCTCCCTCTAAGCGTCTGCTTCCAACTCACATGCCTAGCCACAGTGTTGTTGCCTACCACTATCAGTTTTTTTAATGTTGAATGCAGTTGTTAAGTTTTAAACTTCCTCCACCAGAATTTTTTTTTGCACTTCCTTCCTCTTTTCACAGTCACTTTCCTCTTTCTCATGGCCTCTGAGAAAAAGTTTGGCTCACCTACTCCTTCTCTGAGAGGTTTCCAGCTTAGGCTTTAAGCATCTCCCTAGTGCAATAGTCTTCCTTAATAAAGTCTTTCCTTACTAATGTTCAGATTTGAATTCCCCCTGCTCCTCACTGACCACCCTGCTTTACATTGCCCATAGGATTTTGTGCCTTTAATCCAATACCAATTGCTGGGGTCATGCAATCATATGCTTTTGTCCAAAATATCTCTATGGGACTATAGAATATTGTTGCAACATTTTGGCACCATTCATAAAGAAAAGGTCAGCACCAGACATTGAAGGCTGTACAGCATCAAGATTGTTATGTAGATTCGAGCATAATGGCACATGTCTGTAGACCTAGCTACTCTAGAGGCTAAGGTGGGAGGATCACTTGAGCCCAAGAATTTATAGCTAGCCTGGGCTACACAGCAAGACTCTGTCTCAAAACAAAAAGAGTTAGGTTTCTCACTTGTAAGATCTGAGAAAATGATTTGCCTCCAAATATACTCTAGCATGAATAGATTTTCTTCTTCTAAGTTCTATTTCTGTGACAGTTCATTACAAAACCCAATGACCCAAAAGTTTACAGCTAGTTTTTGTGGACCCTCCTTTTTTCTACCTATGATGGAATAGGGAATTTTAGATTTCTGGCAGTATGGTCTGTTGTGGTGTTTTGTTTTGTTTTTTAATCTAAAAAGTCACCAGATGGCTGGGTCCATTTATCCAGGAAACCAATTGGTTCACTACAAGGATATAAGACCAGGAGAAACTGGTAGTTTCCCAAGGAAATTGTGTACAACATCAACGATGTGGTTATATGCTTTAGCTAGTTTCTGAGCAAACTATATTCATGTGTTGAACTCATAGTAAGCAATGACTAAGGATGTGAACGTGATCTTAAGAGCACTCACCTCTCTGTCCTTCGCTTTGACCTAATCCTCTCAAATGGCTCAAGCAATTGATAAACCCAGCCTAATTCCCTCTTAAGATTAGGAGCCATCTTGCCACAAAGGCATAAAAAGTTAATTTCTGCTTTACTATAAATTACTGAAATTTCTAAACTTGCTTGGAATGCCTGCCCTTGCCTTCAACTCACCCATGCTTGGCTTTCCCTGACCAGATAGCAACCCTCTCTGAAACTTTAGTGGCACCTCATAAATTCTGGCTTTCCCTGGCCAGATAACGACCCTCTCTAAAGCTCTAATGGTGCCTCATAAATTCTGATGTTGGGATCTAAATTGACTCCCTAAGTGCTGAACCATTAAACCTACTATCTGCCTTTGTGTTATGCTTGTCAAAATTCTGTTATCTGTAAGCTCTCAAGATACCTCCCCTTTTTGCAACTTTCTGTGCTATAAAGCTGCACTCCTAGAGAGCTGGGGTGCTGTCTTCTGTTCCCACAAGTTTGGGGAGAGACAGCCCCGTATGGTCAGAATTACAAGCTTGCTTTAATTTGATTTCCGTTGGAGTCGGTGATCTTTTCTTTGTGTCGTGGTTTAACACAATCTGTAAAACCATATGTCTGGTGCAAAGATCAACCAGCAAATTCTGCTTTTTTGCAGGATCTCCTTGCAAAATACACACATCCACACATCCCAATCCTATGTAGAGGGGACATAATGGTCTTACCTTCTAGGTATAGAGAAAGTAAAAGTTTCAATAGGAAAACACAAATTATTAGTTCATAAGTTATTTGTCTTCCCTTTCCAATTCAATCAGAAACTGAAAGCACAACTTTCTCAAGAATAAAAGGGTCACAGCGCTGTCTTTTCAGGTACTGCTATTAGAAGACCAAGAGGATTGAATCACCCAGGATCAGCAGGAGATCAGGTACCTGACAATTCTGTAATCCTAGCTACTCTGGATGCTGAGATAGGAAGATCACTTGAGCTCAAGAATTTGTAGCCAGCTAGGGCACACAGCAAGACCCTGTGCTCTGAGGAGGAAAGAGTCTCTAGAGTTCAGGGATCTAGGAATGTCCCCTGAGGAGAGACTAGAAATAGAACTGGGCTGGGAGAAAACCCGAGGACTGGGGTGACTGTGGTAGTAGAGGGTTATGTGTCAAAATTTAATGCTACAAAATCAATTCTGGGCAAAAAAAAAATATCCCAGGTAGGGAGTTGGGCTCATTTCTGGAAAAAGAAAAACATCTTGAAGGACAGACATGTAGCATATCTACCCTCCAAACACTTAAAAACTTATCCAAGATCATATACTTTGCTCCCAGATCCTTGAGGAAGTACTGCTAGTATCTGTGTTCCACTTGGTCCCTTATACAAAAGAGCCTTTCCCTTCCTATGGCTAGTCAAGCTTAGATTCTTCAAGCCAGAACAAGAATATGTTTAATTTCCCCATTTCCCTCCCAAATTCATGCCCACATTAACTTCTAGTATCCCAGTTGAACTTTAAATGGAGACTGAGAGTCGAGAGCCAGAGACTTCATTTCCCAGTGTCAATCACCTGAGTTTAGTGCACAGGAGCTTGGATGTTTAATGAAAGAAGAGTCCGTAGGCCTCAAGTTCTTTGTTTTAATTTAGGATCTTTAAGATGGAGAGCACTACTTCAGTGATTAGGAGAGACACAAGATGGAAAGAAAGATTTTACTACTGATGGGCCCTGGGTGGTACACAAGACATCTGAAAGCCACACTCATGGAGGTCAAGGTCAAGGAGTGCAGACAGAGTGTGTGTGCATGGCAGGGAGAGACTATGGGACAATGTCAACATTGGGATCCAGGGAGTTATCCACACAGGTTTTCTGAGAAGAGTTTTAATTGGTAGGTTTAAAGCAAAAAAATGTAAGTGTCAAGAGGCTATGACCAAGATGTGATACCGCAACATATCTGCACAGTCCATATGGGGTATGAGGGTCAGCAGAGCCAGTCATATGTTGTACATAGCTGTCTAATAGGGAAGAGGTCACAAGGCCTTGTATAACACAGATATCCGGACTAACTACATTGAGGAACTGCAGAAGAGGTAAGTGTAAAACTAAAACTGAGTTAAGGATAAGTGAACCATGCTCCTGGTATGACAAAATTAAACTTATATTCCAAATGGTGGGGTGGGGAGATGGGGCATGGGGAAGAGAAGCTTGAAATTCATGCTTATCAGTTCTCAAAAAGCCAGCTGTATCCCCATCAGAATCAACTAGGGAACTCATGTAAAAATATGGAATATACAATTTTGAGACTGGGGTCCAGAAATCTCTATTGCTAATAAGTGTCCCAGAGAAGTTTTTAGGCAATTTAATTTCCAGAAGCTCTGTGACTAGGAAGGAGGGGCTGCGGAATTATTTTAAGGTATGTCAAAGCAAAGTATTTTTCTCATTAATGATGTTTCTTCTACTCATAATTCACTCCAAATCCTCCTCCAGAAGGAATTTCGGAGGAATTTAAGGAGGATAGCTAGGGTCCTGAAATCCCTTAAAGAAGATAGGTAAGCTTTTATAACTTTGCCTTAAGATCAAAAAAGTGATGGAAATATAATGTAGAAAATTAAATAATTAACTCCACATAGAGAGATGTTGGATAAATGTTAGTATTTATTATTTTAATGCTATACAATTTAAAAATCCTGATTCAACTAACAATGCTAGAAAAGCAAAATCAAAGTATAAGAAAAGGTGATGAAACAATTAAATTGTTATTAGGGAATATGTGCAGATAATATCAATTTACATTGGATTTGTGTGTGTGTGTGTGTGTGTGTGTGTGTGAGAGAGAGAGAGAGAGAGAGAGGGAGAGAAATACGGGGATTGAACCCAAGGGCACTACCACTAAGATAAATCCCAGTTATATTTAGGTGGTTTTTGTTTTAATTAATTTATTTATTTATTTATGACAGGGTTTTGCTAAGTTGCCCAAGTGGGCACTTGTGATCCTCCTGCCTCAGTCTCTCAAGTAGCTGGGATTACAGATGTGCCCCACAGCACCTGGCTAGTATTTAAATATTTAAAGGAAGGTTTTTTCATAGATTCATAATATTCAGACATAAAAAACAAGTATTTTTTATTGTTTGTTTGTTTATTTGGTGCTAAGGATTAAACTCAGAGCTTTATACATGCTAAACACACACTCTACCACTGAGCTACACTCCCAGTTTTTATAATTATAATACATTTCAATTTGTAATAGATTACAGTTGAACATCCATGTGTGTTAATCAGTTTTCCATTGCTGTGACAAAATACCTGAGAAAAATCTATTTAAAGGGAGGGAAGTTTTATTTGGGCTCATAGTTTCATCCCATAATCAGCCAGCTGGCTCTATTGCTTCTGGCCTGTGGCGAGGCAGAACAGTATAGTGGGGAGCACATGTAGAATAAAGCTGCTCACCTCATGGCAGCCAGGAAGCAAAAACAGAGGAGAAGAAACCAAAGTTCCAATATCCATCAAGGGCATAGCCTCAGTGACCTTGCTTCCTTCCACTAGGGCCCAACTCTTAAAGGTTCCACCAGCTCCCGGTAATGCCATCCACTGAGGACCAAGCCCTTAATTAACCCTTGAGACTTTGGTGAATGATTAAGATCCAAATCACAGCACCATGTATATATGGCTTTTGCATAATTCTTTAACCGCATAATACTAGTGAAGAAATCTAAATTGTCACATAAAATCAAAATATGTTAAGCTCAAATTTTATATTCTATAAAAATGCACTTATCACCACAGAGACAAATATAAAATTACTTCTTTTATAATTAAGGGGAAATGCTAACTTTCTAGTTCCAATCTCATTTTAGTTCTTTTTTTTTTTTTTTTTTTTTTTTTTTTTTGGTTTAACAGCATTTAATACAAAAATTTCCATGTTAAAAATATAATTTTTAGAAGAATAACACCCATAAAATATGCTAATTATTTAATCAAAGAAAACAGTGTGGTTTGTTCAAATTTGACTCCCATAATTTTGATTGCTCCAGAACTGGGGCTTACTCTATGACAAGATTAAATTTGGCAAAAAAAAAAAAAAAAGTATTTGTTCTGAGCATACCATTCTTAGTAGATCATTCAGGATATGCTAAGATTCTGGTACACTATTTTAATTCATCACAATATGTTCCTGTCAGTTACAGCTCCCCAATTGCTTTTGGGGGGATTCTGTAAAATAAAGACTGCCTCAAATATTAAAAGAATTTTTAGAATTAGTCATAAACTTCAGTATTCTTTGTCATCTCTGAATTTCTACAGTGGAAGAAATTGGAAAGGTGCCATTACTCAAATGTTTTTCTCTCATAAACAAAGTAAACATTGGTCTTATTAGTATATAATTCTTTTCTACGAAATATTTGTTCTAAATATTTGTTCATTCCATCCTGATATCATGTTGAAGGAAGTTTTTCAGTATCCATGAGGGTAGTTATTGTATGCAAACAAAGGTGACCCTGAGGTCAACTCTTACTTTAAGTAGTTGGTTATAGTTAGTTTATGCTAATTGTTAATTCTATTTTTTTTTTAAATCCAGAATGAATACAGGGTGGGACAGTCTCCATTGGGTTACTGGAAGTCTGTTATTTCAAGGGTGTTTCCTAAAGGCTCAGGGAATTGGGAACCATGGTAAGGAAGAAGAGCCAGGAACCACAGCAAAGGGTGTTACCAAGAGCAGCTAACCATGTTTTATAGCCCCTCACTGCCATTCTTTTTTAAAAATATTTTTTAAAGTTGTAGATGGATGCAATACCTTTATTTATTTATTTATTTATTTTTATGTGATGCTAAATATTGAACCCAGAGCCTTATGCATGCTAGGCAAGCGCTCTACCCTTGAGCAACAACTCCAGCCCCTGTCACTCTCATTCTTGAGGTCTAGATAGAGCATTGTCTAAAGTCAAGACCAGCCAAAATTCCTTGGAAATTAACACAATGGGCTTAGAGTGTGTAATGCCAGACTCTCGTGGGACCCCAATAAACCTCCAAGAGCCGAATGCGATGCAATCACACAAGAGTCTTTATTGCAAGCTGGAGCCTGGACTCACAACCGTTTCCAGGGAGTGAGTCCTGGTTCTTTGCTCAGTGAGATTTTATAGGTTTTGGGGGGATATTCTATGCGTCACAACATCACACCAGCAAATCATTTCACATCGCGGAAAAGTCAAACAACAACTCTTAACATTCATTAGCACATTCAACAGCGGGAACAAGTTGGGTAGGGGTGATTGGTTAGTACAAGAGGGGGATTCCTTTGAATTGATTGATTTAAGCCAATAGGGGTGTATGTGCTTAACTACATGGTTTCCCAACATGTTATCAACTACCATAAACTACTGGGGGGTCATCTGGCATCCCAGGTATTTTCCCTGTCTCATGCTGATTGATGGTTGCTAGGGGGTTGCTATGGGTCCTCACCTAGCCTAACTGAGTCAGGGACACCTGGCACCGCAGATCTCTCCAGTTATTTGTAGACAAACAACTCAGCAGGGTGGGTATGTGCTTAGGAGTGCTCTGTGGGTCTTTCCAAGGACAAGGGTCACACCCCCTTCCTTAGGACAGGCCTTGAGGTAGAAGCTTGTTTCTCAAAAATGGAGTCACATCAGTTTCTCAAGTGTAGAGGACAATTTTCATAATTTGCCAAGAACCGCAAGCAGAAAAGAATGAAGCAGTGTTATCATCATACCTCATTCTTTGACTTGCCTTACTGAGTGTGTATATCTCCATCCCTCAAAAAGAAGTCAAAAGTAATGAATTTTCATTAATTATAGTAATTTATAAGGTAAATTGATTGTATTGGTCTGTTGCTATATCTGTTTTATTTCTGTTGCTCTATCAAAATAACTAAGGCTGGATACTTGATAAAGAAAAGATGTTTATTCAGTTCACATTCTATGGCTGGAAAGTCTGAACATCATGGTATCAGCAGGAACTAAGTGGGGTCCTGAAACAACTGCATTAATCTCCTCAAGGGTGATGTTCTCAATGACCTATTTACCTCCCACTAGGTCACCTCTTCAAGGTCCCACCACCTCCACACTACCACTCTGAGTGCTAAGCCTCTAGCACATGACCCTTTGAAGGACAAATCGTATCCAAATCATAGTACTTACTGATGATGTAAAGCTGACAAGATCAGGACACGTTCAAAAGTCTTGATTTAAGGGCTGGGGCTGTAGCCCAGTGGTGGAGTGTTTGCCTAGCATGTGCAAAGCCCTGGGTCGGATCCCCAGAACTGCAAGAACAAACAAAACAAAATGAACAACTGAAAAATCTATCTCATCTGTAGTCCCGGCTACTTGGCAGGCTGAGTGAGGAAGGAGGCTCTGCTTCAGCCCAAGAATTCAAGGCCAGCTGGGACAGTATTGTGAGACCTTAGAAAGAAAGAAAGAAAGAAAGAAAGAAAGAAAGAAGAGAGAGAAAGAGAGAGAGAAAGAAAGAGAAATATTGGAAATATTAACTTGAAGTTGGAGAGTGCCAGGTTAACAAAACTTGGAGAAGAATTTTTTTAAGCATCTGTGAAAAGACTCAGAATATTTCTCTAAGGGAGAATAAAATGTTAGGTCCTAAGAAATATCTGCTCCCATGTGATCTGTTTCTCTCATTGGAATTTTACATGACTTATAGCTTCGCCTGTTATCAGGATTAATTGTTTCAAAACTAGCTCCCTACTGGGGGCGGGATGTTGGAGTCACCTCCTCCCTGGTGCAAGATCCTGGTAGAGCTGTTTACAAGGGATCCTGATTAGCTGATCAAGAAGCAGTGTGAACAGGAGCCTGGACTTCTGGATTCATTAACAGAATGAATAGGGATTTATCAACAGAACTGGGCATCAAAACACAATAAAACTATTTACATCTAACTTACATGGCTTTATGTTTGTTTGCAGCTTTTAAATTGTGAACTTGAAGATAACATTGCTTCTAGACATGGCAGTTTATATCTTCATACTAACTTGTTGGCTAACACAGCAGGTAATATGTACTACCCCTTCTCCACCCACATCCTGTTGACCTTGCTTTTACCTCATATCTTTGAGACCAGATAGTTCCCAGAGTTGAGTTTATGGCTAGAGTCAGTGAGAGAGTATGAATCTGAAAAGTAACTTAAAAATAGTATCAGTAAATGTGGGAAGCCATCTGTGAAATACAGGAGGACCTTCTCTCGCTGTGGAAGCCACGGAAGGATAGGCCTAACATTGGGAACTTCCTGTGGCTCTCTCTTTGAAAGGTGAGAGACCATCCAATGCATATGACCTTCCCCTCTGCTCTGCTAGAAAGATCCCTCACAGTAGCACCAGAGATGGGAGTAACCTGTTAGGAACAGCCCACCTGCCCCCACCTTGATCCTATTTTGGTGAAGAACATTCTCTAGAATTTCTTTGATGTCTTCCAATATAAATAAAGCAGGGCTCCTTTGTGTTAGAAGCTGGATCCATCTGGTCTAGTCCATTTGCCTGTTCTGCCCCTGCTTTTGAAACTACTTTCTGTGTTTTTTTCCACCATTCTATTTTTCCTAGCTTTTATTTCTCAGCCAGCCTGTTCCACTGAGGGGAACCCCATTCCCACCCACTACGTGGGATGTGGGCGGAAAGTAAACAAAACAGTCACAATGCTCAGCTTTTCCTTTTATAACACTCATAGTGTAATAAGAATGTGTTCATGTATGCTCCATATATGAGCCCTGTGATGGGAATATGTGAAATCTCAGGCTGAGTAAGAAGCCTATTTTGTGGGTTCTGATAGCATCCCAACATGCTCCTTCCTCAGCAAACTAGTCAAAGGACTCTCCTTCCCTACAGGTGACCAGCCAATTAGTCCTCGACATGGCCAACAACGCATTTGATGATCAGTATGAGGGCTGTATTGAAGCAATGGAGGAAAAGGCACCCCAGCTGTTAAAAGAAGAGCTAAGCATGAATGAAAAATTTAAGAATGAATGGGAAAATGCTAAGAAAAAATGGAAGCAAATAAAGTCCAACATAAACTATTCAGAAAATTTCAATGATTTCCATGGAACTGCTATAGTGGCCTACACTGGGAAAATTGCAAAAGATTTTAACCGAGCTGTAAGAGAATTCAGACTAAATTCAAGTGGCTTTCAGTACAAGGCCTTCCATTATTATTTGACAAGAGCTCTTCAGCTTCTGAGGACATCCCAGTGTAACCAAGTTTTTAGAGGCTCTCATACCAAGTTTTATTACAGTGGGGCCGGTAGTGTACGATTTGGGCAATTCACTTCATCATCTTTGAATAGAAATGTAGCTGTTTCTCCAAGATTTCTTGGTGCTGATGGGACATTGTTTATCATCAGAACCTGTTTGGGTGTTAATATCAAAGCATTCTCTCTCTACCCTCAAGAAGAGGAAGTGTTAATACCAGGGTATGAAGTATATCAAAAGGTCACAGTAAAACAAACTGGTAAAAATCACAATGAAATTTCCCTCGAAGCTCCCCAAAAACGAAAGAGTAACTTCAATTGCTTTAATTCTACTCCAATTCACAGCAAATCAGACATCAATTTCAACAGTTCAGGTGAGTCTGGGTCTGCATTGGAGGTGGGGTTTGTGGGGTCATCATGAAACAGAAGAGGGTGCTCCCCTGCAGAAACCCCCACAGCAGAGAACAATGGGCATCCAGTCCATTGCTGAAGAGTCTCAGGTTCCTAAAAGGACAGGACTACTGTTTTGGAGTGGAGAACAGAGCTCAGGCTCATAGACATGAGGCCATTTCTAGTCCAGCCAAACTCCAGTTTCCCCTGCTGTGCAGAAAGGTCAGAAAGACTTGTGGGACACCAGGTAGAATGAACCAAGGAATGTACAGGTGTGTCAGGGGCCAGCCATATCAAAGCATCAGAGGAATTGGGAGGCTTGCTGGTTCCAGACAGAAGGGCGTGGCTGCTGCAGAATCCAGGCAAGAGATGAAGGTGCCTGAACTGAGTGAGTGGCTGTGGTGCTGGAGGCGCCTGGGTTCTAGGTCTGTCTATAAGCTATCTCTTCCTGGGGGGAAGACAGTGAGAGGTGGACAAGCTGAGGGGTGCAGTCAGAAAAGAGGATGGGGGACCTTGAGATTTCAAGTGTGAAGTGTTAACTGTTAATTAGGTTCCAGGACATTTCCACAAAAGTAATTGGCTAGATTGAAGAGCAAGATGGATAGCACTGGATTGAGGAGTTGAAGAACTGAAGATTTTGCACTGAGAACAACTCAGCCCTAGTGTATAGGGAATGAGCCTAGGACACTCACAGGACTAAAGAAAGAGAGGCAGATAGATTGGGGCACTCATTGATGAAAGCGTGGTGCTGGGCAACAGCAAGACCAGATTGGATCTGAGCAGTTTCAGTCAGAAAAAGGAGGATATATATGGATGAGGACAAAAGTGACTATCCTGCCAGGTGTGGTGGCACACTCCCGTAATCTCAGTTACTCAGGAGGCCGAGGCAAGGGGATTGCAATTTGGAGACCAGCCTGGGTAATTTAGCAAGACACTTTCTCAAGATAAAAAATAAAAAAGGGCTGGGATGGAGCTCAGTAGCAGAGCACCCGTAGGTTAAATTCCCAGTCCTCCACTAATGCCCTCCCAAAGTGACTTCATCCTGGATGTAATGTACTTGGTTTATCTTAAGTTAATAGCAAAGTGTTAGGAACTTCCCTGGAGCCAGGAGCCAGTTGTAAATTTCCACAGACCGCTCTAATGACTCTGTCTACATATAGTTTGCTGAGAAACTATGTAAAAAAACTAAGCTTACCTTGGAGCAATCATGACAGTTACAACTCAAGATGGCTGCAGTCATGTCAAGTTAAATCAATACAAGTGGTCCACATGGTAGACCACATGTAGAGGGACAGTGCCTGGAATGATGAAGGTAGAGTTGGTAAAATCAGGAGATAGGAACCTCAAAAAAGACATACCAATAATGGTTGAAACTGGTTACAAAGAACACCAAGAAAGCTGTCACCACTCCCAGCCTCGAGATGCATAAGAAGAGCCACCACGAGCACTTTCCCCATCTTTTCCCAAGTGGTCCTGGCTTTTAGATCTCTATGCATTTACACCAATCATTTCTTGTGGCCTGCAGTCTCTCTTCTTTGACTACATATCATATTTGATCCAAGCTAAGACACCATCAATTTCAACATGGTGATTGTCTTCCAAGACCTAGTTCCAATATCACTTCCAACAATAAGCCTTCCTTGATACTTTCAAGGAAAATTAAATCCTACACCATTCTCTATGGCATAGGTTTGGACTCAGACCACCTCAATGATAATCTGGCTCAGCAGCACTAGTTTTATGACTTCAAGCAAGTTGCCTAAGTAATCTGTCTCTGAATTTCCTCATTTAATGATGGTATACAAATAACAAACACTTGAGTAGTATCACTGTGAGAATGATAAGATTTTTAAGATTTATTGCCTGGCACATAGTTTTGCTCAACAAATACCTCCTTTTTTTTCTCGTGGAGAATCTTGTCCACATCTCAGCCATTTTGCCTCATAATGGAGTATGACTTACCATTTATATGATAATCTCTTGCTTATAGCCTGGAGACTTTGTCCCTCCTATTTACCTGCATTCAAGACCTGCCATGGGCTTGACTTGAATCAGGGTTCCAACATATATTGATGCAGTAAGTTACTTTTTATTGAGAGGCCAGGAGTCCAACCAGAAGTGGATCTGGGCTGCAGAGGGACTAAGCATCCAAGAAATTTAAACCAAATTTGCTCTTACATTCTGGAAATCCCTTCAAAAACCAAAAAGATGTCCTTGCAGTTTCTCTCTCCTTGGTATTTATTTTTTTTTCTTTTTACCATTTTTATTGGTACATTATAATTTACATAATAATGAGATTCATTACACCACATTTGTACATGTGAGTTACATAATTTGTTCACTTTCCTTCCCTGGTACCTCTCCATTTCCTCCTCTCCTCCCTCCCCCTAATCACTTTCTCCCTGGTATTTCTCCTCTCTCCCCCTAATCACTTTCTCCCTGGTATTTCTGACTACTTCAGGAATCCTGGGAAAATAAGAGGAGAGGCTAGTCAGGTTAAGTGAGTGCCTAGAGCCCACCTTCTAGGGTTTTGACATGTAGGTGAAGCTCTGAAAGTTAGGAGGCTATGTCTTGAGAAACTCCACACTGAAACCTTTCCTTCTCTCCCTCCCATAGGCCCTGTGTTCCTGCTGCTGCTGCTACTGCTGCTTGCTGAGCCATAGCCCTTGGCCTGAAGTCTCTCTTCCTTGACTACATATCAGATTTGTGAGCAGGATGTTGGAGGAAGGACAAGGATCAGAGACTTGACTGGGTTCTCCAATGTCAGCAGTATTGGGAAGGGTAGGATCTTTTTTTGTAGTCCGCTTTAGTGCTTGTGTCCCTCACAGATATATGAGGAAATTACTAAATCCCACTATAAAAGTGAGCATACGGTCTTCAAATTTACTGCCTGAGATAAGTTCCTGGTGTCTTGACACTTTGCTATGGTTACAAATCAATATTTGCATGCACTGTCAGCAGTGACAATCTCTTTAAAATGCAATTTGTGATTAATGTTATAATCTAAAGAAATAAACCATTCATAATCACACCTTGCTTTTCTGTGACTAGGTTTCTCTATAGATTGTATTATGCTCAAGAAACTCTCTTAAGGCATTAGATCTGATGCCAGAATTTTTACAGCTGAGAAAATTCATATTGCATATTTTTATAGATATGTTTGTGGGACTGATTGACTGAGCCATAAATATGAGGGTTGTCCTAGATAAATTCCTCTCTCTACACTACTCCGCCAAAAATGCATGCCCTGTCAATTAACTTTAATAATCATTCTCAAATCTATTCCTTGCCTCTTGCCTACTCTGATCATCTTTGAGAAAATGGAAAAGCCTGTTGTGAGGTGTGGATGGAGCGTGAAATCTAGGCAATGTCCTAGCCAAGGGTGGGTCTAGCTAAGATGCACAGAGCTTCTCTCACTCCTCATTCCCCACTCTCCATGCCTGAAAGACTGCACTGCCATTGCCTACCAGCTACTGAGATAAACTATGAAGACATGGTAAGTAATTCCAAATAGTATAATGGTGCAATAAAATCAAAATCATTGGAGAGAATAAAGAGGTAAGAAAATACTCAGGCAAACACAGGAACAAGGTATATGGCAGGGATGGCCTTACAAATCACGGGAGGAAACATGAGGGTGTGAATGGAGTTAGGACAGCTAATTGTCTACATAAAAAAAAATGAAAGAAAAGAAATAAGAAATTGGATTGGACCCCTACATTGCATAGAAAGCCATTGTTTTGGACTTAGCTGCTTCATGAGGCCCAATAGACCAGATCAAGCCAGAATGGAGTCACTTTTGCTGGATGCCTTATAATCAAAATGAACTTTGAAAGGCACCAGTTTTCTGACATCTAGGAGATTCACAGTAACCAGTCAGAAGGCGCCCAATTTACCTGACCTAGCATGATGAGGAACTGTCCACTTTTTTAATTCTATAAAGAAAGTACCTTCAAATAACCAATATACTTTTTGTTCCCTATTTATGCTTTCTTTAGCTCTTTCCTGCCTGTAAAACCAACCCCCTCTGCTGTTCAGCTGATTAGGATATCTTTTATTTTTTTGGTACTTGGGGCTTGAACTCAAGGGATCTCTACCACTGAGCCACATCCTCAGCCCACTCCTCGCTTTTTTTTTTTTTTTTTTTGTACTTTTTTATAAGACAGAGTCTCACTAAGTTGAGGCTAAGGCCTTGAACTTGTGATCCTCCTGCTTCAACCTTCCTAGTCTTTGGGATTACAGGCATAAGGATTGTGCCCAGCTCAGAATATCCATTCTCTTTTGTAGAATGAGATGTTGCCTGATTTCAGTAAAAGCTAATTTGTTTTTTAAACTAAATCTGTTATTATTTTTTCAACATACCATCCGTGAAAGTAATCCTAAGGAATGTAAAGATCTAAATGTTAGAATAAACCTCCAAAACTCTTATAAAAATATAAAAGAATATTGGGCTGGGGCTGGGGCTCAGTGGCAGACCACTTGCCTAGCATGTGTGAGGTACTGGGTTCCATCCTTAGCATTTTATTAAATAAAATAAAGGCATGCTGTCCATCTACAACTACAAAATTTTTTTTTAAAATATATAGAAGAATATTTGTTTTAACATGAGAGCAAAAGGAAAAAAGATTTATTTCCCCTCCATGCCTAAGATCCTGGGATCTTATTACTTCTGCCAAAAATGACGTCATCACTTTTATAATATCTCATTGATCAAAGAAAGTCACACAGCCATCTTCAACTTGAAGAAGGGCTTTCCAGGCACCCGGAAAGAGAAGAGAGGAGGAAAATTTGTAATAAAACCCGTTGTTTGGGGAAGTATATCTTAAGACCAAAAAACAAAATAAAGAGAAACACAAATAAATTTGACATAGTAATAACAAGATGAATAGCCAAAATTTTTTGGGTACTTACTGAGTTATCGGGCACTTATTCAAAGCATTTTACATATTTATTCATTTAATCTTCACAATAACCTCATGAGGTAAGCTCGACTCTTTCCCATTTATACCATCGAGGCTCTGAGGAGTTATGTAACTAATTGTCAAAATAAACAAAATAGACATAAGAAGCAAGGAAATAGAACCTAAACTATGGCAGGTCAGGTCAGGGGTGTTGAAGGGCTAGGAGGGGTTATGCTAAGTAAGCAGCAAAAGCTGGGCTTCCAGATAAGATAGAGCTCATGGGTCTGCACTTCATTGGTTAAAAGAAATCCTATTGTTTTTAATTCAGGAAAGAGTGCCTAATTATCATTTGGCCTACAGGGGTCATTAAAAGTTCATGATTCTTCATCAACTTTAGCAGGAAAAAACAGGTGTGATGAAAAAAATGTTGGGTTTTAGATAAGTCCCAGGCGAATGCTTTCTGTAGGTCAAAACTTCTCTTACACTGTGAGGAAAATAAGTCAAAATCAAACACATAAACTTCTGAATAACAAAAGACGCCAGAATCAAAAAACAAGAAGGAGGCTGGGAAAGGATCTTTGTGAGATTTATAACATGTAAAGAATGTCTGCAAATCGATTTTTTAAAAATAGAAAAATTAGAATAATATATGAACAGACAATTTACCGACGAGAAAAATCAACCTTTTTTTTTTTTAATGCCAATTGAGATTGAAACACAAATCGAGGCAACCATGACATATTACTTCAACTCTTCAACTTTAACATGGGCTACTCGATCTTATCAAGCTGTTGCAATTTAAGCAAAGTCTTCTAGCTTTTGTCAAATCGAAACTCTTGAGAATTGACAGACTTTCTGAAATATAGGGATTTATTGAGGCTTTACAAATGCTAAACAGCAAAAAAAAAAAAAAAGACCAGTTCTGGGAAAAGTTCCTAAAACCATTGGCAATAGGCCCGGGCAGCAATTGGAAACATGTCCACTGGACCTAGAGCTTAGAGTATCTTTGTATAAACTCTGAGGAAGGAAAGTCTAAGTAGTTTACATTGACCTTCATTGGCTCTGGAATGGCAGGATAAGGCTATGGGACAGGAGGATTGTTCATAAGTAGAAGCACCTGCTTCTGGAGTAGTTGGGGTTAAACATCTGGAGGGTTTGTAAATCAACAGGGTTTGGTGGCCCTGGTGGTCAGCCATGAAGGGATTGAAGCTTTCAACATAAACAGTCTTTTTGGTTCTTTGCCAGCAGCTGTTAACTGATTACCTACTTTGTCTTATTTCTTCCCTTTTCTATTCTCTGGCCCTTGTGATTAATCTCAGAATTTTTCTTTTATCACTTTTAATCTGCATAAGTTTCGTGTCTCTGTTCTCATGTTTTCCTTACATTGTTTATTTAATATCCAGATGAGAAGGGTTTTTATTTTTTGCGACTAGGGAGTGAACACAGGATTTTTTGAGACAGGGTCTCACTAAATTGCTGAGGTTGACCTACAACTTGTAATCCTTCTGCCTCAAGCTCCAGAGTTGCTGGGATATCAGGTGCTCACCACCATACCTGGCCAGTAAGAAAGGTTTTGATGCATCCTTTAAGTCTGCCACCTATGAAACATATAAACAGTATTGCAACCTTAGCAATTATTTCCACATCAGTGAGATATTTTGTATGACTTTTGTTCAATTCAAGAATGCAAACCGGGCATGGTGGCACATGTCTATAATTCCAGGGACTTGGGAGGCTGAGGAGGAGGATCATAAGTTCAAGGCCAGCCTGGGCACGTTAGGGAGACCCTGTCTCAAAATAAAAAATAAAAAGGGCTGGGGATATAGCTCATTGGTAGAGTACCCCTGAGTTCAATCTGTAGTATCAAAAAAAAAAAAAAAAAAAAAAGAGAGAGAGAGAGAGAGAAAGAGAGTGTATAAAGGCACATTCTGTATTTCACACATTGTTGAAAGAGTGGGGTAAGACCAGTAAGACCAGGCATGGTGGTGCAGCTCTGTAATCCTACCAATTTGGGATGCTGAAGAGAAGAATCCCAAGTTCAAGGTCAGACTCAGCAATTTAGTGAGACCCTCAACAATTTAGCAAGACTGTCTCAAAATAAAAAGGGATGGGAATGTAGTGGTAAAGCACCCCTGGGTTCAATTTCCAGTACCACAAAAAAAGAAAACTGAAAGGTTGGAGAGTGGGGAAGGCTTTTAACAAGTAATAGATTATGAATTAAAACCTGAGAGTTTATCTAACTTTTTGTTCCCTGATCTGGTCCCTGATTATCTCAGTTACATGAACTTTAAAGTCAGAATGAAAAAAACTCATGAATACATTGGGGCTCATTCAGTAGGAGGGCTACAGCAAAGTGGAAAAAATCTTTTTTGTAGGATTCTGATGTAATCACATTCTTAGCCTTAGGGTTGATGAAGGCCAGAGGTCAGTGATACATACCAAGTGTTTTATCTGGTAGTTACAAGGATATAAGGTCAGATACAGAGATGGGTAGTAAATGATTATTAACAGGAACTATAGATAGCCCAAGATAACTTTGGCTCTCCATCTGTAACATTCCATCTCTCCAGAACCATGATATTCTTGTCAGCCACAGTCCAACAGTCTGCAGGTCCTTCAACATAACTGAGGCTTCTTCAGAGAACTTCAATTCACAGCTTTTAGTTAGTGTGACCTTGAAATCCAAGCCTGTGGCGATGTCTGACTTCTACTCTAGCCCTTCCAAACATTGTATTGAATTGTATTTCAATTCCCTGTATTGAATCCCTTTCTGTCTGAGGTGCCTAGAGTGCTTCTGTTTCTTTCATAGAATCCTAACTGATGCAACTGGGCTCCCTGCTTCTGCTCTTGCCCACCAGAGTAGCCCCATGAACTCAAGACACAATATGCAATTTCTTTGCTCAAATCTGTGAATGGCTAAAAGCCAAAGTCCTTCCAATGCCTTAAAAAGGCCACATCCAAATTTGGTATTCCATAAACATTCTGATCTCATCTTCCACTGCTCTCCAAATTGCTTGCTCTGCTCCAGCTACACTGATCTCCTTATAATTCTCTACTGTGCAGGCACTCATTGGCCTCAAGGCCTTTGTTTTGTGTTCCTGCTCCCTGGCACTTTCCCTAGATATCTGACC